GCATCCCCCGAGACAGCTCCGCCGCCGAGACTCCACCGCGGAGTGGCGTGCAGGCTTGCTGCCGCTCCAAAAAGCTTCTGCCAGGCAGGGCAGGGCGGGCCGTCTGGGCCCGGAGCGCTTTGGGGCGGCGACGCCAGGCGCCTCTCCGGCAGCGCAATGGCGGGCGAGGGGAGGCCCGCGCAATCCAGAGCAGTGCGGAATCGCTGCTGGAAGACGGCGATCGCAAATGCGCGCCCGACCTTCGGGCCGAAAATGGGAACCCGCTGTTAGGCGAGCGCTAGCGTCGTGTCGTTAGGAGACGACGCCAACATATCCCCGTCGCGAACAGCGCGCAGGTAGATGCAAGCACCGAACGGGGCCCAAAGCCTGCCCAGCCGCCGCAGGTTGGCCGCGCGGGCCCCGGCGCTTCGGAACAACCGCCTGAGAGCCGACGGAATGCCAGCAGGCGGTCCGAAGTCTTCGCCGCCCCCGCCAGCTTCGCGGATAGCCTCCTCAGCCTCTTCCTCAGCCCCTCGGGGGCGGCGGCCATTGATGGTCCTGTAGGCCGCCTTCGCGATGTTCAGGAACTCCTCTGGGCCCGCCAGCGCGACGCTTCGCTCGTTGCGGTTCGCGCTCGGGAAGCGGACCGCCAGCGGGTGCGAAGGGGTGAGCTTGCAGGCGGCTGAGTGATCAGCCCTGGCCACGAATCTCGAGATGCTGCGGAACACCATGAATCGAGAAAGCGACGAGGTCGGCCCATGCCAAATGATAACATCACGGACAAACTTCGCAGCCCCCCACATCGCCATCTTGAAATATTCGCGTCGGATCGGTGGGTCACGCGTTCACTGGAGTCCTCGCTCATCGCTTCTTCAAGGAGCTTCGCGAACGGATGTCTGTAAATTCCAAGGTGGATGTGTCGATCTCGGGCAGGAAGGCCACGGCGGGGTTGGAGAGTATCCGCAACGGCAGCATGATCATATAGTTCAGCCATGAGCGCGAAGCGCCGACGGGCCCCCCATCGCCGCCCCGCCATCGGACATCTGGAGGGCGCACCACCCAGGCACCGACGAGAAGATCCGATCAACGAAGTTAAGTTTGCCTGTCCCAAGATGGCAGCGGGACGGACCATGGACATATATCCCAAGAGACCGTCAAACAACAGGTGCCAGCCCAGGCGGCCCCGAGGCCCCCTGCCAGGAGGGGGCGCCGACGGGGCGCTGGAGCATGAGGTGCCGAGAGTCTGGCGCCTGTGCGCCCCAGCGCGACCCGACCCGAAGACGAGGGTGCCCCCCGGAAGCCGGTGGGAGTCGCCCTCTGCGAGCTTGTGGGAGCCGCCCTCTGGGATACCGACGCCGCCCTCAACTCGGAGGGCGAGGGCCCAGAAGCGACCGCAGAACCCGTCCAAGTCCACGCAGGGGGAGTCCTCTGGGAAGAACTGGTAGCGGCAGGAGGTCTCGATGGAGCCCTTAGAGCGGACGAACTACCTGGAGGTTCCGATGAGGCCCTAGGAGAAGACGCAGCGCCGGTAGGCCTCGAGGGCCACGCCGCCCATCCAGCGAGCCTTGGCTCGCGACGCTCTCGGAGGCGCTGGCGACGCTCGCGACGCAAGTCGCCCAATATCAAGACCAAATGGCAAATCTGGTCATCGCGGGCAATCTGGAGCGCACTCTCAACATCCTGACGAATCAGCAGCACCTGGGCACATTTCAGACCAACATTGTGGATCTTGCAATACGCGAGGGAGAAGAGGGGGCGCCTGGATAATATCCCGATTTCGAGAGCTCGCCCCGGGACCAGCCCGCGACGCTGTTTTGCGGGCCTGGCCCCACCCAAGCACGCCTTTGCCTCCACTGAACCACCTTTGTTCCAACTCTTCAACATGTCCCTCGCCCCCTCGTCAGCGCCATGAGTCTCAAGCACCCCAACTACTGCCCAAACGAGTAGCTCTGCAAGGTATCTCATCTTCTTGAGGTGAAGATGCCGTTCCACACGCGAACGAGGAGCGATGGAGAGCGCCCTGGCGCTCCACGTCGCCACGCGGAATGAACGGAGGGCACCCGAGGGGTCTCGTCTGTCGCCGACCAAGAATGCCGGGAGCGCGCTGAACCGACCACTCCGTGGGGGGGGCCACCGTGCCCTCGAGCGCGTCGTCGAACAGGGGGCCGGCGCGCCCTTGGAGATCTGCGACTTCCTGAGGGCGTCGAGGCCCCATTCGATGTTCGGCTTGGCGTCGCCCTCGACGGGCGAGATCTTGGGAGAGGGCAACCAGTTGGCGCTGAGGATAGCCTTGTTTGTTGTTTTTTTGCTCCAGAAAAAACTGATGGTGGGATGCTCTTGTTCCACCACTCCCCTTGCGGCCCGAAGGGCCTGCTCCTTCTTGATCGCGCAAGGATGTTTATCGCTACTGCGGAACAGGTCCGAGTACTCACCGCCGACCGCCACGGGCGATAACAGTTCCCAGCGACCGTCGGCGCTTGAATATCCCGAGTCACTGCGAAACCTTCCGTCTGGCCAACACCTCAGCTCCCTTGAACCTGATTGATAATATCTTGCCCGTCGGGTCGCCATCCCATGCGTAGTCAGTATCCGCCGACATGTTGAAGTCTTCGAAGAAAGGGGCGCAGGCAGCCTGAGCCGTCTCCTCGGCACCGAGCACGCGGGCCGTGATGACCACCACCGCTGGGTCAACCTTCCTCTTGAAGCCAGGGCCCTCCATCGGGCGGTCCTGTCACAGCGAAGTCCAACGAGAGCTGCTGAATAGTGGAGCGCAGGGACGCGATCTCCCTGGCCTGTGAGCGCTGGGTTACCTCCACCACGTCGATCCGCTTCTCCATGTGTTGACCCAAACCATCACACGATTCCACCACTTAGGAAACGAGCTGCGTGACCGTCGCCTGCAAGCCAGAGACGGAGTTGAGAATCTCACTGCTGGCCTTGTCCACGTAGGCTCTGAATTCGTTATCTTCGCCAACCAACTGGAAACCAGCATTTTCTCCCTGGCGAGCACGAGGTGCGCCCAAGCCGCGGACAGTCGCAGCCTGCGCCCAGGGGTCAGCGACGGGGGCGGCGGGCTGCGAGGCGAAGGTAGGCATGTTTTCGATCTGTGCGGCCATGGTGTCATTGAGGATGGGGGCTCGCTCAACCTGCTCCGGCGTGCTCCCTGCAGCCGCAGCCCGCGCGCGGTCCTGAGCGGCACGCTGCGCTGCGCGGGCCCTCCTCCGCGCGGGGCGGCCGCCGCTGCTCCTCGAGTGGGATCGCTCTCCGCTGTGACCAGAGGCCTCCTGTTGAGCGTGCTGAGCAGGAGGGGCAGCAGGCCGAGCAGAGCGGCCCGCCATGGCAGCACTTCAGCGCAAAGGAGGGGGCCACACGACTTCCTGGTGCGCGAAATCGTCTCCTTGCAATGGCTCAAGCCCGCTGCGGGGTCGGGCCAGAGCTAATCGTGATTAGGTATGCCACTTTACCGCCACACGTTTAGCCTTGAGCCAGAATGGCTACAGACCCTCCTCCTCCTCCTCCTCCTCCTCCTCCTCCTCCTCCTGGACTCAGCCTGAACGCGAACAAGGTTGTCCGCGCCACCTGCCACTTGCGCCACCGCATGGCCAGAGCCAGAGGCGGGTGGCGCCCCCCGAACAGTGCCCAGAAATGAAAGGCGAGGCCAGCGCACAGCAGGCTGGCAGACGTGAAAGCCGCGCATCACGGCGCAGCGCTGCTCAAGAGCGGTTGCACCACTCCTGCACGGATCAAAGAAGCCGTGCGCAGCGGATCCTCGAGGCACCGCCACACACGATTGACCTGGAAACGCGCAGGCGCACGCGTGAGGCCCGAGAGGACTCGAGCACCCCACGCGCCTGGTGCGGGAGGGCCTCGACAGCCCTGCGACAAGTTCGCAGAGATCTTGACCCCTCCCAGCCCGCACACGACACACACAGTACACCACGGCCTCCGCCCACCGCCCCCGGTAACGGCGAAGGGGCGCATGACATGCGGCCTCTCATCCGCAAGCTGCACCCGCACAGAGGCAAGGTCTGCTCTCGACAGGCTGCGCGGCGTGACTGGCGGCGGGGGCTCCACCACCACACTTGGCACAGGGCAGCCCACTCCGCCCGAGCCGCGAGCCTTGCGCTGCCGCCGAGGGACATGCTCACAGCCAACGTCGCACATGCGAGGCCCAACGCGCGCAACCCAGGAGGCCCACTGAGAGAGCACGAGGGCCTTGGCTTTGCGAACCTGGCGGAGCTCAGGGTCTATGCGGGCTCTCGAGGCCACCCACTGAGCCCATTCGTCAGCATGCGAGTTACCCTCCTTTTTCAAAACGAGTCGATAGTCCAGACTGGATGCGAGCTTCGGTGCAATGGCCTTTGACTTTGCGCAGGTCGATACACTCGATGCCGCCCCAGTCGTCGATGCGGCGCCAGACCTGGACCCATAACTCAGACCAGGCTGCGCGCGAGGAACAACAGTACACCTTGCCACGCTGGTAAACTCCATCGTGGACAAACGCTGAGTCGGTGTAAAAATACTGTCAGGAGCACTATGCTGCAGCGCGCGGTTGATGGCAAACAGCTCTGCACAGTCAATATCTTGGCACACAGACTGGAGGGTGCCGCACATCACCGAGCTAACCTTGTACGGATGGCGCGGTTGCACGCTGATAATGGCCCAGCCAACAGCCTGAGACGCGGGCGGCAGATGCTGGTCCATCCAGCTGGCATCAAGAAAAATATGGCCTGCCATCTCGGTGGGTCCTCCGCCGGACCACCGATCGGGAAAGGGACTCGCAGGAGGAAGGGGGGCCTCGGGGACGAGCAGCCTCTCGGCAAAGAGGAGAGGAAGAGGGTCAACGCTCGCCCTGACAACCGAGGTCAAGAACTCAGGTGGGACCTCCTGTGCCGCAAGGTCATCGTGGCCCGCGCAGCACGCGTGACGATGCAGGAGCGTGCCAGGGGCCTGCTGACACAAACGACAAAGGGGGCCAGCGGTGCACTGCGCAAGCCACTGGCGATGCTGGGGCCGCTCCCCCCCCTGCAACAACACTCCTCAGGTAGGCCTTCTCATCGTGTCTGAAACCATTAGAGGCTAAGAGGGGCTGCAGAGGCTGAAAATTGCACCCAAGAGAGAGCTCGGGAACACCTTCTCTCGAGGCCACTTTTTCCCAGAGCCACTGCAGCACCGCATGATAAAGCCACTTGCGGACGGTGCCAGGCCCTGACTACACAACAGAAACCTCGCCGCGCCGAGGATGCGACCACACAAAGCCTTGCATGCTGATGCCAAGTCGCAAAGCTGTAGCAGCACACGCAGAAAAAAGGGCCACGGATGCTGGCCCAAGGATTGCCGTGATCGGTGAGCCTCTCAACAGCGTCTCGCAATCCTTGCTCCAGCATCGCTCGTGGGTGCCATAGCTCCCACACCGCGATGGCATACTGCAGAAGAGGGGCACACTGCAGCTCATATGCAGGGTCAATCTGACGACGTTCACTGAGCATGAGCAGCAGCGTCACACTCTTGCCATCGAGACTGTTCGCCTGCACTCGAGCCGGCAGCATGCGCGCTTGTCTGAGATCTGCGCCAGTGATGCCAAGCACCTTGCACCCGTAAGTGTGAGAGGACAGAGCAGCACTGCGGATCATCGTGCGCAGCTGCCGCTTGCAAACAAAGGGCGACAGGGCCAGCAACTTACGCGCTCGGGTGACGGCAGGCTTTTTTCTGCTAGCGCGGACAAGCTGCTTGTGAACCTTACCAGCGGCAAAGTCGATCCCAAGATTCCTCTCAGTGCAAACGCCTCTGAGCCTGACAGAACGAAGTCGGGCCTCAAGGAGCCCGCGGAGCCTGGCACTGGAGGCAACAACCCGACTCTTTTTTAACGCAATGGGCAAGCTAACATTTCCTAGCTACGAGTGCAACATTCGAGTGGCGCCAGCAAGCTCTGAAGCAACATCCTCCTCTCTGCCGAGCCGTTGCAGGCCAAAATCGTCCACGACGTTTCCGAGATGCATGTGCGGGAACGCTGCCGGCACGGCGTCTAGAGGCGACAGCAGCACCAGCTGCAACATGAGAGTGGCGCAGTGACACCCTGGCAGCACTGCTTGCAGAGTATAGATTGGCATGGACGTCGCCTCACCAAGAGCAAGCACTCTAGGACAGCGATAAAGCTCGACCAGCAATTTGAGCTGCCGCACCGGGAAGCCTGCGCGCAACGCAGCCTGCAACAATACATCATGCCTGATATGCTCAAATGCTTTGGCAAGGTCAAGAAGCACAAGGGCGCTGGAGAAACCACGTGCTCTGCCCCACTCAGCAGCAGAAACCTGCAACCAAACCAGTTTGTCCGAGGAGCGTCCAGCCGTGGACCACCAGAAAGGACGATCATGCTGCTGCTGCCAAGCTGCTACCGAAGGCTTGCGAAGCCCCCCCTGCGCACGAGCCAGGATGTGAATAAGCGCGATGGGTCGGATACCCCCATCACGTTTAGAAAGAAACACAACCTTGGTCCAGATGGAAGGCCAAGTGCAGGAGGTTTCAACTTCAACCAACATATCGAGGAAAGCTTCCAACGCTTCATCGGACAAGTGCAAGAGCTGGCGCGGACAGAGCTGGTCAAAGCCACATCCTGACCGTCGCGGAAACGAGCGCACGCACTCCTTCAGCTGCTCAAGCGAAGGTCGCACAATTGGAGGGCCAAGATCCGTCGGCCATTCAATCTGATCGCTAATAGCTCCGACCTTCCACCAACCCGACCACTCCACCTCGAGAGCATCCACCTCCTCCTGAAGGGCGCATGGCTTGCCAGCAGTTAAAGAGCTGGTGTGCCAAGGAACAGCAGGCTTGGAGAAAGCACGCAGAGCGGCCGCGCCGTCAATCGAGTGCCTGCGCACCCAATCACGCCAGCCCGCCTGCTTGCCTCGCTCTGCCTGCTTGAAAACTGCCACAGCTCGCGCACCAGTGACCTTCGCCGCTGCCGAAGCTAGCTCATACGGCAACGAGAAAGACTACTGGAGAAGCAGTAGCCAGGGCTCGGCTTCCTCGATCGGAACACCGCTAGCTTTGTGCCGAGCCTGGACGCTGCGACCTAAGTTGAAGGGGCTAGCACGTAAATTTGGCGGCTGCCAGCGCGCCGGGCCTTCGAAGCAGCGAGCCAAGAGCCGCCACCAGAGGGCAGCTGGGCTAAGCGCGGGAAAGGCAAGCGGATGCGGAAGCAACGGCTTGCGCGTGGCGAACTCTAGAGGGAAAGCCCTGCCATAGTACCCGGGATTCTCGGCAGGCGTGAGGTCGTGCACATCGGCGAGCTCAAACTCAGCATTGGCTACCCACAACTGCCACTTCTCCGCGAGCGGGAGACCTGACATCTGCTCACAGAAATGCTGCCATCGCGGCTGAGGATCAGTCCTCCTGCACGCCACTGGAGCCTCCAGGGGGAACGCTTAGGCACTCGTGCTGTGCGAAACTCGAGCCCACACTGCGAGAGTGGCGAGAGCTGCAATAACACTGGGCAGTGTGGTGAAGCGCCTGCATCAGGCACAATGAGGACACGAGCTCGATGCGACAGCGACTGCGAGACGACAAAAGAGTCGATGACACGACCTGCCGAGGCGGCAGCATTAGTGCAAGTGGCAACTGATGGAAACAAGCAAACTCCGTCTAACGCCTCCACCCAAAGACTGCCCTGGAGCTCCTCAGGAGGCATCTGGAAATCTCCACAGATAACAAACGGCAAACCTACAGATTTCACCACCTGCACCACGCCAATGAGGATGGCCCAATTCTTCTTAGACAAACCCTCAGAGTGGTGAAGGTACAGATTGACCCAGAGAAAGCCCAGAGGCGTGAGACCATGACTGTGCAGAATGCGAACACGGCCCGCATGCATGCATGACGCTCGGCACGCACTCAACCTCAGACAAGCCAGCGGCCGCGGGCACACACTGCAACAGTCCACCTGATGTGCCACCCTGCGAGGTGGCGGCGGCCGCTGTAAAGGCCGCACGCCATCCCATACCTCGAAGTTTGTGCTCCCAGATGTCGCACCTGTCTCACAACATGTGGTGCTCCTGCACTGCGACTGCAGCGGCGCCTCGAATCTGTTCATGCCGTAGGGCGGCCCCCAAACCACTACAGCCAGACACATTCACGGTGACCAGGGTGAAGCTAAAGATCCGATTCAGCAACCCCGTCCACACGAGCCTTCTTCTTAGCGGCCTCAATGAGCTGGTCGAAGATCCCCTGGACGAGCTCATGCTTGACACCCTGCTGCTCCGCTTCGGACTGGATCTGCTGGCCAGCACGCTGCTGCTCCAGCCAGGCGAACAACTCAGTGTGGGAGGCCTGGGCGCGCTGCCGCACTGCAGCTGCGTCGATGGCTGCACGTGCGGCGCGCTGCGCCTCGGCCTCGGCCTGCGCCATGCCCGCGACCTCCCGCACAGCCGCCTCCTCTGGGGTGGCTGGGGCGCGCGCGGCGGCTCCGCCAAGCGGCTGAGCAGCAGCTGCCTCGGGAGCGCCGTCGGCTGCAGGAGTAACGCCAGCGGCACCAGCAGCAGGAGCACCAGCAGCCCCTGGAGCAGGAGCGACGCCCTGCATGACCACGTCAGGTTCGGCGAGCTGCCGCAACGTGGGGACGAGCGTCTGCAGCTGCTGGGCGAAGTCGGTGAGCCTAGGATCCGCCTTGAGCCCGTCCGCCAGGGCAGCAAGCGCCTTTGCGGGGTCCACCGACTGTGTCATGCTCTGGTAGGCCTGGGCAGCACGCGTGGCAGCCTCCGCACAGCGCGCCTTGGCCTCGTCGAGCTCCTTCTTCGCCGTCGCCGCCGCCGTGACAGCTTTGAGGGCCGCCTCCTGAGCACGGTCGTAGGCCCGCTGCGCCTTGTCGCGCTTGTCGGCCAGGACGTCCTGCTCAATGCGTGCCGAGCGCGCCTCCGCACGCGGCTCGCCAGCCCGCAGCGCGCGGTGGGAGACCACCTTCGCCACCAGCTTGGGCGTCCAGTCCGCGGAGACGGCCTCGAAATCAGCAGCCTCCAGCTTGGCATAGATGCCGATGGCCGAGGGGTCCAGGTATGAGAGCTTGACGCCGCCCTGCCCTGGCCCGCCACCACCGTTGGTACGCTTGCCGCCACCGCCGCCGCTGCCTTGGCCGCCTTGGCCGCCGACCTGAGGCGGCCCCTGCAGCCAGGCGCCCAGCGTGCGCGTACCCTTCGAGGGGGCAGGCGCACTGGGCGCAGGGCGGCCGCACGCGCGGCAGTGCGTGCGCGTGAGGAAGTTGAAGCGGTACCCGCACCGCTTGTGCTGACACTGCCAGGTGTCGAATGTGGCGCCACCATGTCTCTGAGGGGCCATCCGACCCTGGAAGGAAACTTCAAGCAAAGAATCGCCGCAAAACCTCGTCTGACTTCCTCCTCCTCCTCTTCCTCCTCCTCCTCCTCCTCCTCCTCCTCTTCCTCCTCCTCCTCCTCCTCCTCCTCCTCCTCTTCCTCCTCCTCCTCCCCCTCCTCCTCCTCCTCCCCCTCCCCCTCCCCCTCCTCCTCCTCCTCCATCTCCTCCTCCTCGTCCTCCTCCTCCTCCTCCTCCTCCTCCTCCTCCTCCTGCCTCCTACCTCCCCCTCCTCCTCAGCCTTGTGCTAGGCGGCGGCGCGAGGATCGTGTAGTTGTGGCCCCCGGTGCCCGGCGCGAGGCTCAGCGTCTCCTCGCGCCTCCGGTGCAGCGCCAGGGCGACCGCAGGCCCGAGCGAGTAGACCTCGTCCTTAGGGAGAAGCAAACCCTGAGATCTGGGCGTTCTGTGTTGTTTTGTTCTCCCCTGCGCGAGGCTGAAGGAGGCCTAGGAGGAGGAGGAGGAGGAGGAGGAGGAGGAGAAGGAGGAATGACGAGGCCGATAGAACACTGACATCTGGGCGTTGCAATTTTTCACGCCGAGCGTATTCGCCCTGCTTTCGGCCCCGGGACCATCGCAGATGGATCCGCCTCGAGACATGCCGCAGGAAGACGGGGTCCAGGGCTCCGATCGTGACTTCCGTCTTCACTTTGTTCACAACCTCGGATCTCACGGGAAGTCCAGCTGAAGTCCAAGCTGATGGAGCGCCGTCTCCAGTTGGACGCGTCGCCCATGGAGGGGACAGAGTCCACCAGACGAGCGACGAAGATGAACGGGTCTGCATCCGATGGCACAGCGACCTAGCGCCGCGGCTTACGCGGACCCGCCAGCGCGGCACACCGCGTGGAGAACAGGGCGCCAGACCAGAGTCTGACGCAGGACGCTTCCGCGCGAAAGACTGGTATCGTGTTGGAAGGAAGGGGGTGGGAAGATACGGGGCACGACTGTACAACAAACACGGATGATCTGATCAGTTCTCCCAGCCCCATCCTCCCAACCCGACAATTGTATTTCTGCGTCGAACCCGTTGGTCTGCGTCGCTCCACTGGCCTCGAGCCGGACTTGGCGTCGCCTGGCGTCCTCCTCTCGCGGCCCCGGGCCGGCGCCTGCCCCGGGAGGCGCCTGGGCCTCCGCGGCAGCGAGCCTCGTCTGGATGCCCTCCAGGGCCAGGTCCGAGAAGAGCTCGCCGAACTTTCGGCCCACGTGCGCCGTGGGCACACAGATCTGCCACGGATAGGCATGCTGCTCTCGCTTGTGGGGCATGACCAGGGCCTCGACGAGCTCGATGATGGCGGGCATATAATACATGTACCCGAGCATGGCCCCCCACAGCTCGGGGGTGAAGATCTGGCCCGCCGCGAAGCGCGGGTGGTACATTGCAGAAATGCTCTCGTCGGCATCCCTCGTCCGTGCATCGCCTCTCGACCTCGTGTCCGTTACGCCACCCTCGGGCTCGGTGAACTCGGCTGCACTGCTGGCACCACTCTGGGAACTGTTAGCGCTGGCAATCGAGCTGAACCGCCTCTCGCCTGCCGCCGCAGTGTCGGGCTCCTGCCCAACGTGATAGTCATGGGGCCGCCCACTGAGGAGGTCTTCCATGCTCGCGAAAGACTTCTGCAGAATCTTGGGCAGCTTCCGCACGGAGCCGCTGTGCTGCAGCTCGTAGGTGGCGTACACCTCGTGCCCGGACATGCCGCACCAGCACTCCAGGATCTGGGCGCAGAGCACTATGCGCGAGTCCTGGTGGAGAGTCTCCCGGCCTTCAGCAGCAGGAGCCTGTCCGCTCATCACCACCACCGCGCTGGCCTCGAGGACGCCAGCTTCGATCAGAGACTTCACTTTGGTGCAATTGCCCTCTACGACCAGGACTTGGCCGTCCAGGTCATCGTCGAGGAGCTGCCTCGGCATCTTCGTGGGCGCGAAGACCACGATGGGCCTCCTGTCGGGCAGGTGGGGCGCACAGAGAGACGCCACGAAGGTGCGGACCTGCTGCCAGACCTCACCCTGGCAGACGATCACCACTACCAGCTCCTCCCCCGTGTGCGCGAGCTGGCTCCTCAGGTACTGCAGGCGCCTCTGCTGCTCGCGCAGGCTGACCTCTCTGCCGCCGCCGTACGAGTGCACGCTCTCCAGGCTGCTGCCCATCTCTCGCTGCAACGGCGCGCCGCCGTTGATGGGAGCCATCGGCGTGTACGGCAGCGACAGCGGGCTCTGCTGCCTGCTGATGGCCCCCGGCTCGGGGGTGAACCGGCCCGACCTCCAGACCATGGCGCGCCGCAGGCTGTGGCCCAGGAGCTTCGAGGCGGACACGTGCGGGCCCTGCCGGGTCTTGCGCCGCTCCAGGTGCCGCGCCATCAGCAGCGACCGCCGCCAGTTGTCGGCGGGAAATTCCGCTGTGCGGCACCCTTTCAGCGTCGACTCGTCCTTGGCCACCGCGAAGAAGATCTGCCTCTCCTCGGCCTCGCTGACATCCTGGGGGCAGATCAGGAGCTGGCAATTGACGAACGTCGCGAACACGATGGCGCCCGTCCTCGTCTCGAAGAGGCCCCCCGCCCGACCAGATCGAGGCTGGCCTCCACGGCATGGGCCTCCGATCCCGCTCCAGCCTGGCCGCTCGCCCGACCGCGCGGAGAAGCCCTGCCCCGATCGAGATATCGATCTGCCGCCCCGGTCCCGATCGCTCGGCGGATCGGCCTGGTCTGTGGCCGGATCCCTGGCCGAGGGATCAGGACTTTTCCCCGAGGTCCTCGAGAACACGGCGGTGGCGATCTCCCCGAAGGATAGGCCCGCGAGGTCCTCGGACAGCTCGAAGCCGAAGACGCTGCGCTGCAGGCCCTCGATGTAGTCGAGGACCCACGGCGACACCTTTCAGAGACCGCCAGAACACCCACCAATCTCGTTGCCTCCCCTCGTCACCCACCCCCGCCCCCCCACGAGGGGAGGAGGAGGGAAGCGGGGGAGGGCTGGACAGGCGGACACAGCGAAGGAGTCCGAGCCTTCTCCTTCCACGCAGAGCTGTCGCGGAAGCGCGTCCACAGGGCCCTCTGCCCGGCCCTGATGCTGCTGGCAACGCTGGAGGCCGACTGGGTGGACGCCCGGGACCTCATCGAGCCCGAGTGCCGCGGGCCCACGCCCGGGCCCGCGGAGCTGGACGATCTGGACGAGGACGAGCCCGAGTATGCCGACGGCCTCGCCTCGTAGTGCGGAGACACGGGCGGGGAGCCGTGCGCCTCCTCGGGAACCGCGCCGTCGTGGGTGCTGCGGTCTGGGGCGCCCGTCCCCCTCCCGGACGCGCGCAGGAGGCCGCGGGCCTCCTCCCGCACGTCCACGGAGAGGAGCATGCCGGTGATCATGGGCACGAGGCCGTGGCAGCGGACGTTCTGCGCCAGGATGTTTGCCTTGAGCTCCTGCAGGGAGAAGCACCTGGAGATCTCGATGCCCGCCTGCACCGCAAGCTCCTTGGACTGCGGCCGGAGCAGCATGACGCGGAGCTGCGCGTCGGGGAAGAACTGCCGCATGAGCACGGCTGTGAAGAGGTTGTCCTCGTCTTCCCTGTCTGGAGTCTCGCTGGCCACGTCCGCCAGCAGAAAGGCCAAGCTTTGGCCAATCGCGGCACGCTCCATGTCTGCCTTGCTGCTCAGCTTGCCCACGATGAAGAGCACGCGCCTGCGCACCGACGCACTTAAGCCCTCGGCCCGTAGGAAATCATCAAAGGTCGACCCTTGCGATTCCTCCCCGTCACCTGCCACATCCCATGGCGTCCGGGAGAAGATCACCACGTCCGGCCACTCGTGCGACCGCTCTGTGTGAAGGATCTCGCGCAAGAAGCCAGCAAGCATTGAGGAGAAGTGCACTGCGCGCCTCCTCGTGCAGAGGACGACCACGACGTGGCGCTGCAGGCTGCCCCTCTTTCTCGGTTTTGCCTGGTAGACGCCCGAGCCCTCGTGTATCTCAGCCCACGCCTTCATAAACTCGACTTGTACCATGAATAGGTAGAGAACGCCAGCGACAATGAAGACCGAGGTGAAGAATCGGCCAATGACGGTCCGTGGGGCAAAATCACCATAGCCCACAGTTGTGATAGAGACTACGATCCAGTAACACATTTGCGTGGGCGAGATTCTATCTCCTAGAAAGCCAAACAAACATACGGTCAGGAACTTTTGCAAAGCCTGTCGCGGCGGCGGCCCTGTGGACACGCTATGCCTTGCAAGCGGATAGCGTCTCGCTCCGCTCCGCGGGGCGGGAGGTTGGGAACAGCTCGGGACGTTGACGCTTGGAAATGGTGATGTGGATAGCGGGTCGCGTCAAAGCGTGGTGGGCCAAAACTGGCGGCGCGACATGCTAACCAAAAGCTCCCGACCGCAGTTTGCGATGACTCGCGGACGTTCTGCTGTTAAGGCTTATGCCGCTGTTTCAAGGCACCCTGGCGGCACCGTCAGCGCCGCCAGGGTCGGCGCCGCAAGTGCCGCCAGAACCTCCCAAAGCCCACAGTAAAAACCCACATCAGAAATCATGCTACAGGAAATCTGGGAGCACGTTCGCCGTCGATCTTTGAAGTCCCGAGGGTGTCCCAGAGCTTCAGATGGTCCCCAGGCCTGTGGCAGGCCTGCTGGGAGGTAGGTTTCTTGGTCGACGCCTCGACTGAATGTTTGCGTGGCTTTCTGTTCCTCGAGTCTCCGGCGGGGGAGATGATGTACCTGTCCGCGAGCAGGTAGTCGAAAAAAGGCAGCTCGCCGAGGACCTCGCTGGTGAAGATGGTGCCGGCCATGGTCACTATCAGGCAGGTGATCCTCAACACGAGGAGCACGACCTAGTCCGCGGTGGGAATTCGTCACGCTCGCGCGTCGCGGGGAGGGGGGGGGCGCAGCGCCCGCGGGAAATGTGCGCAGGGAGGGTTCATTGCCCTCTCTCGCCTGGGGGGGGCGCATAATAACGCCCCCCACCCCCCAAGCAAGAGGGCAGATGGCAGATGAACCGTAAACGCCCCTATGAGCGAAGCCCTTCAATAAATTAGCCTGACGAAGGACCCAACCATGTGCAGGTGTGAGTGCCGCAATTGTGATTCACCTTTTCGGTGGTGATCCCTATGAGGCAACGAACCGTGCTAGGGGTGTGCCGAAATGAGTGGCGTGGTACACAACGCGAACGAAAACGAACAACACAATGCGGACTGCGCCACGGGGACCTTCGGTGGGGCTCCATATGGGGCCACGAAACGCTGTACTGGGGGAGGGAGACGCATGCGGACTGCGCCACGGGGACATTCGGTGGAATTCCCTATGGGGCCACGAAGCGCTGTACTGGAGGAGGGAGACGCATGCGGACTGCGCCACGGGGACCTTCGGTGGAGTTCCCTATGGGGCCACGAAACGAGTGAGGGGTGTGCCGAAATGAATGGCGGGGACGCATGCGAACTGTGCCACTGGGACCTTCGGCGGAGCTCCTATGGGGTCACGAAACGTGTGAGGGGTGTGCCGAGATGAGTGGCGGGGACGCATGCGAACTGTGGCACTGGGACCTTCGGCGGAGCTCCTATGGGGCCACGAAACGTGTGAGGGGCGTGCCGACATGAATGGCGGGGACGCATGCGAACTGTGCCACTGGGACCTTCGGCGGAGCTCCTATGTGGCCACGAAGCGTGTGAGGGGTGTGCCGACATGAGTGGCGGGGACGCATGCGAACTGTGCCACTGGGACCTTCGGCGGAGTTCCTATGGGGCCACGAAACGTTTGAGGGGCGTGCCGACATGAATGGCGGGGACGCATGCGAAGTGTGCCACTGGGACCTTCGGCGGAGCTCCTATGGGGTCACGACGCGTGTGAGGGGTGTGCCGAAATGAATGGCGGGGACGCATGCGAACTGTGGCACCTTCGGCGGAGATGGGGCCTGAAATGAATGGCGGGGACGCATGCGAACTGTGCCACTGGGACCTTCGGCGGAGCTCCTATGGGGCCACGAAACGTGTGAGGGGTGTGCCGAATGAATGGCGGGGACGCATGCGAACTGTGCCACTGGGACCTTCGGCGGAGCTCCTATGGGGCCACGAAACGTGTGAGGGGTGTGCCGACATGAATGGCGGGGACGCATGCGAACTGTGCCACTGGGACCTTCGGCGGAGCTCCTATGGGGCCACGAAACGTGTGAGGGGTGTGCCGAAATGAATGGCGGGGACGCATGCGAACTGTGCCACTGGGACCTTCGGCGGAGCTCCTATGGGGCCACGAAACGTGTGAGGGGTGCCGAGATGCGGCGGGGACGCATGCGAACTGTGCCACTGGTGTGGGGTGTGTGCCACTGGGACCTTCGGCGGAGCTCCTATGGGGCCACGAAACGTGTGATGCCGACATGAATGGCGGGGACGCATGCGAACTGTGCCACTGGGACCTTTCGGCGGAGCTCCTGAGGCCACGAGACATGTGAAGGGTGTGCCGAAATGAGTGGCGGGGACGCATGCGAACTGTGCCACTGGGACCTTCGGCGGAGCTCCTATGGGGCCACGAAGCGTGTGAGGGGTGTGCCGGCATGAATGGCGGGGACGCATGCGAACTGTGGCACTGAGACCTTCGGCGGAGCTCCTATGGGGCCACGAAACGTGTGAGGGGTGTGCCGACATGAATGGAGGGGACGCATGCGAACTGTGCCACTGGGACCTTCGGCGGAGCTCCTATGGGGCCACGAAACGTGTGAGGGGTGTGCCGGAATGAATGACGGGGACGCGGCGGAGCTCCTATGGGGCCACGAAGCGTGTGAGGGGTGTGCCGGAATGAATGACGGGGACGCATGCGAACTGTGCCATTGGGACCTTCGGCGGGGCTCCTATGGGGCCACGAAACGTGCGAGGGGTGTGCCGACATGAATGGCGGGGACGCATGCGAACTGTGCTACTGGGAGTTTCGGCGGAGCTCCTATGGGGCCACGAAACGTGTGAGTGGTGTGCCGGAATGAATGGAGGGGACGCATGCGAACTGTGGCACTGGGACCTTCGGCGGAGCTCCTACGGAGCCACGAAACGTGTGAGGGGTGTGCCGAAATGAATGGCGGGGACGCATGCGAACTCTGCCACTGGGACCTTCGGCGAAGCCCCTATGGGACCACGAAGCGTGTGAGGGGTGTGCCGACATGAACGGCGGGGACGCATGCGAACTGTGCCACTGGACCCGTCGGCGGAGCTTCTATGGGGCCACGAAACGTGTGAGGGGTGTGCCGGAATGAATGGCGGGGGCGCATGCGAACTGTGCCACTGGGACCTTCGGCGGAGCTCCTATGGGGCCACGAAGCGTGTGACGACGATGATGATGATGATGATGATGATGATGATGATGATGATGATGATGATGGTGATGATGATGATGATGATGATCATGATGCTGAGGAGGAGGAGGAGGAGGAGGAGGACGAGGAGGAGGAGGAGGACGAGGAAGGGGAGGAGGGGAGGAGGGAGGAGGGAAGAGGAAGGAGGAAGGAGGAAACGCGGGGACCGTCTCTTCGAAACGAGGACCCAACAACACAGGTTGGTTGGGGAAAAACCTAGGGAAGGAATCGAGCTCGGCAGCACTCCCCAACAGACGTTCATAACTGCTCCCGTCATGACCTCAAAATGGTTGTTACGCCCTTGGCCCTAGCGCGCGCAACCCACACAGGCGACGCGTGCACAGAGGATCCTGCGCATACCCACGCGCGCGCGGGGGGGGCGGGGGGGGGGGTCGTCGTCGCCGCCGCCGCCGCCGCCGCCGCCGTCGTCGTCGTCGTCGTCGTCGTCGTCGTCGTCGTCGTCGTCGTCGTCGTCGTCGTCGTCGTCGTCGTCGTCGTCGTCGTCGTCGTCGTCGGGTGGGAACGCGCGCCCCCCCCATGCGCGCCGCCCGCAAGCGGACCTGCTGCGCGTCACTTTTGTCCCCCAGCGTTCGCTCGGGCGGCGGAGGAAGAGACGCCCGATGCGCGACGACGTGGCGACATCACGCGGTGGCTGACACAGGTCGCCAACGCGGCACGACGCGCATGAGCCTAAGGCGCTCACGCACGACTTCGCGCGGGCAGCTTACGCGCAAACGACCGCGCAGTGGACCCCGCTCGCCGCCCATATGGAAGAGTGAAGGGGCGATGGGAAGAGGTCGCAAATGCGGATGGAAAAGATGCGGACGAGGAAAGACAAGAAAGCGACGTCTGACGTATCCAGCACGTTGAAAAGGCCAGCCTGCGATAGGCGAGCCTTCAAGTAACACGAAGTGGGTGCTGTGGCATGCATTGCACGGCGGCCCCCGACACCTCGCGGTGCCCGCATGTGCTCCCGTGTGTTCCAAGCGGACTTGTTGCTCACCCTCCCCCCTCCTCCTCCCTCCTCCTCTTCCCCCTCCTCCTCCTCCTCCTCCTCCTCCTTCTCCTCGTCCTCCTCGTCCTCGTCCTCGTCCTCGTCCTCTTCCTCGCACGCAGCTCGGATGAAGTTTGCGGTCGCCTAGTTCGCTCGATCGTCCTGTTGCTGTAAGAACTCCGCTCTGGCAGCTCGGGCACGCTGTGCAATCAACATCGGGTCAACAGTCTCCGAATCGGATCGTGCAATTACGAACTTAGAACGAGGAGCTGCACAGCAAGGAGTCTCTCCTCACCCGTCATGGCCCGGGCGATCCCAATCGGCGATCATGGACGACCTCGCGCGGAGCAGACGGGGCCCAGACGGATTGCATGGCACCCCACAGAAGCGGACAGGACGAATAATGCCTCTGAGTGTCACTCTCGTCACGGCAACCGAATTTGCAAGCGACGTGAACCTGGCGAGCCCTCCGCTCCGTCGCCCGCCCGCCCGCCGCCGTCTTCAATGCCGAGGCCTGCTTAGCTGGGGGAAGTCCAATGAGACACTCTTTGAGCACCTGCCAGCTGCGCCCCGCTTTTGCCGGCCTAGGCGGGGGCCGCGAGCCCCATTTCTCGAAGCGCTTGAACACGGTGGCACCCAGATCTTCTTTGAAAAACTCAAGCTCGAGGGCCCGCGAGATCGTCCTCTGAGCAGGGGCCCGAGTCCCAGGAGACAGCAGCTGCGCCTGGTGGAGGGCGCCAAGAGCAACTCCGACTGGGGCACGAGGCGAGGGCAATCAGGGGGTCCAGCAGCAGCGGCCGCAAGCTCCCAAACGAACGACGGCTCGACCCAGTGCCTTGAGCCGGGAAGTCATGGGCAAGCGCGTCCTCGCTGCCTCCTACTGCTTTTGCCGCAGCCCACGCCAGTTGGCGAGCGTGCCCCTCGCAGACCTCAGAAGGGCCGACGCAGACTGCGCGCGCGTCGATTGGGGTCTGAGACGGGGCCACTGTCGGAGGGCGAGCAGTTGCTCCAAGGGGAAAGCAAAGGCAGGGAGGTGCAAGACCTTGTTGAGCGCCCGCGACTCCCACCGAAGAATGGGCTGGGACAGGGGAGAAAGTTGGGGGAGGTAGCGACACTTAGAAACCGCACGCGAATTACATAGGTCGCCGCTATCGAGGGGGCGGCCTTTGTCGCAGCAATGTTTTTAATCGCCCCACCCGCCTGGAACGCGCGACGCCACGTCACTTCTCGGGTAGCTGCTGGGCCGATCCACACCCCCAGGTATTCAGCGGTATCGGACGCGGGAATCTGGGTCCATTGAGGGGCATGCTGGGTGAGCCCGTTACGAACGAGACCTTCAAACTGCACTGCGAGAGGGCCCGAGACAGGGAGAACGCGGCATTTGGGATGCTTGAGCGGGCATTGGGATGCTTGGCAACCTGGCCGCGTAGAACGAGCCCGACAAACGCGCCAGCGCAACGCGC